CTGGGTCTGGGTCTGGGTCTGGGTCTGGGTCTGGGTCTGGGTCTGGGTCTGGGTCTGGGTCTGGGTCTGGGTCTGGGTCTGGGAGGTGGGGCCTTTCAGAGCAGGGGAGGGCTTTGGGAGAAATGAGGGACTTTGGGGTGGAGTCTTTGCAGGCACGGGGTCTGGGTGAGGGGTAAGACAGTCTGGATGCCCCCAGCCTGGCCTTCCCTGATAGGCTTTCTCCTGTAACCCCATAGGGTGACTCTGGGGGCCCCCTTGTCTGCAATGGGGTGGCTGAAGGCATCGTGACATCGGGCTCCCGAGTGTGCGGGAACTGGAAAAAGCCGGGAATCTACACTAAGATTGCCAGCTACGTGGACTGGATCGACAGTGTCCTCGCCTCTGCGTCCTGAGGGTGCAGGAAGGGCACCGAGAGGATCCAAGGGCCCCCTGTCCCTAGGTGTCAGCTTCAGTCTCTGAGGATCGCAAAGTACCTCTATAACCCTGGTTGGCCTTGGAGCCCCTTAGCATAAAATACCCTCCTCTGTAGGGAGATCCAAGGGAGAGAGGTGAGCCGGGAAAGGAGGTGGGATTGATTACTAGGGCCCCAGATCCCCAGTTATGGGATGGGGAGGGAGGGGACTCACTCTCAATAAAGCTTTCAATGCAAAATCATCACTTTAGCCTCCTCTCTTCCAGGGGATTAAGGGGCACAGAGGAGAAGGGGATTAAATGGAGAGAGTGGGATAGACAGATTTGCTGCCTTTGGGTAGAGTTGGAGAACATTAGAACTGGAAATGACTAAGGTTTTCTCATAGAACATAGTTATAGCTGGGAAGTATGTTTGAACAGAAAATGTCAGGGCTGGGAGGACCCTTAGGACACAGGATGTTAGAGCTGGGGTGGGGGGGGCCTTAGAACAGAGAATATCATTGGGCAGAGTCCTGAAAATGACCTAGTCAGATGAGAGAAGATTCATTTCATTTTATTTCTCTTTTGGCATTGGGGGGGGGATGTTGAGGTGCAGGGCGCAATTGCACTTTTATACTGGAGTGGAAAGAATCCTGAACTGGAAGCAGGAGGCCTGGGTTCTAGTCTATGTCTTGGCCCTGAATCTCTGTTACTTTGGGCCTGACTTCCTTTCTCTGGGTTTCTGTTTCTTCTTCTCCAAAATAAAGGTTCGGAACTAGATGGTGTTTATTAAAATCTTTTCCAGCACTTTTGGTGGTTCAAAGTTTTGTATGTAAATTATCCTTCCCTCTCTTCCTTACTTTGGCCAGGGAGAGAGAAGGTTCCCAGGGAGCCAAAAGATGACTTAAGAATGCAGATGAAGCCCCTAAACTTCACGCTACCATCAGGGAGGCTTTCTGATTGGGTGACAGTGTGCATGGTCTTGTAGAATGGACCAATGAATTCAGGACAGAGTGCCCAGGGTGACCAATCCCAAATCAGGGCAGGCAAAAGGGAAAGTGTTTGGGGGTGTATGAGAGTATGTATTGTTCCTGGTCTGCAGGCTTATGGCATTATAGGCCAACCAAGGTCCCAGAAACTTAAAAAAAAAAAAAGATACACATACAAGGTATCAATGTGTGTGTAAACTTTAAAAAAGATGCACAGACGAAGTATCAGTGTGTGTATATGTATATAAATGTATTTGTGTGTATATATATACACAGTTAACCCTTCCACATCCTGACTTTCCCCATTGTGGTTTCCATATATCGAGGGTCAGCATAAGAAATTAGATAGGGGTGCAGCTAGGCAGTGCAGTGGATAGAGCTCGGGCCTTGGAGTCAGGAGGACCTGTGTTCAAATCCGGCCTCCGATACTTGACACTTACTAGCTGTGTGACCCTGGGCAAGTCACTTAACCCAGATTGCCTCACCCAAAAAAAAAGAATCAAAGGAGAATTTTGGGGGAGTTTTGTAGAAGCCCAGGCCACATGCGCAGGCCAGCAGACAACACAGAGCCTATGACCAAATACTTAATCCAAATTTTGCAAGAAGGTACTGTAAACATCCCATAGAAGAAAAAGAAAAAATTCAGACTTCTCTTATAGGAAAGGAGGGCTAAAAAATTTTACGCAGATTTTCCAGATCACAGGGTCGCCGGACCCCTAACCCCTAGGATGTGGAAGGGATAACTGTATACATACACACATACACACATATAAATGTATTGATACCTTTTGTTCATGCTGGTCAGAGGCCTGGCCTCACAAGCCCAGACCGAAAGTGTCAATGCATCATTAATGTCTCTGGTTGCGGGGGAAATGAGAAGTTTGGATGTCAAGACTAGATTCTTGCCCTCATGTCATGGAGCTCCCAGTATTTCTTTAACATTCAGTATTGTTCCTGGCACAGCTAGCTAAAAGCAGGACATACACAGTGGGATACCTTTGGAGAGCCATAAAGACACATGAATGCAAAATAAAACCCTAAGTAATATCAAGAGAAACCAATGGAAAGAGGTCAAGGAAAGTCTTCTTTATCTCAGTGGATCCTCTTGATTGGGAGATAGGTGTAAGAGGTAATATACCCATTTTACAGATGAAGAGACTGAGAATCACAGAGGTTAAGTGACAAGGTCACAGACCCAGGAAATGTCTGAGGTGAGATTTGAACCCAGGGTACATGAAACATTCACCTACAACTGCATTTAGTTAAAAACTTCTAGGGGTCCTGACGTCAGCTGGGTGGATTCTCCTATTGCCAACACGAATTCCAAAGCCTCTGTGCTTCATCAAACAGTGTTTATGAGTTGCTACGTCCAAAAACATTACCATCTTGGTGCCCTCCTCCCTTTTCTGGTGATGAGTCTCTCTGCTCTCAGCTAGGCTGCTCCTTGGCTGATGGGCTAAACCTCTCCAGCAACGGGGGGCTGGGCTCTGCCCTGCGGTAGCCCTCAAGAGACCAGGTCTCTTCCAAGAGATGATGAGAAAAACAGAGGAGGACTTTAATAGACATAACTATAATGCAAAATGTTGGATAATAAGCATGTCAATGAAGCAGTAAGGGGAGGTGTGAGGGGGTGAGCAGGGGAATCCCCAGAACACTCCCTGAAGGGCATGACTTTTGAGCTGGGCTTTAAAGGATGGTGAGGATGACAGATAGGTGGAAATGGGGATGAGGGTGTTCCTGGCATACAAACCGACCTGGGCAAAGGCAAGGTGATGGGAGAATAGTAGGCATATCCATGACAATGGTGATTTATCCAGTCTAGCTGGGGTATAGACTGAATGGAGGGCAGGAATATGAGATAAACATAGAGGGGGCAGAGTGGCTAGAGATGGTCAGACTGTGAAGGGCCTTCAACAGCAGGCAGAAGAATTTAACCTTACTCAGTCAGCACTAGAGAGCCATCCTATGATGACTGAATCAAGGAAATGCCAGGTGCATCCATAAGGAAGATCTGTCTGGCAGTAGGTGTGGGATAGAGTAGGAGGGCAAGAGGTCAGAAAGCTATTCCAGGAGTGGCTAAGATATGGAAAGATTTGAGGTTCTGTCTTGGGCCAAGGGCAAGGGTCCTCTGGACCGGCCTAGAGAAGGAGCCGACAGGCTGATGGGGCCAGTAAGGACGTGGCCCAGGAGGGAATCTTTCACCCCTTTTCCTGAGTTCTGTCCCACCTGTCCTCTTCCTCCTTGGCCCCCATCCATCATGTAGGTCTCCTCCCTCCTAGGATGGGCCCCTACAGTGCCTGTCAGGCCAGGTTCACCCTTGGCTGAACTCAAGGTTATTCCCCTCCAATCCCTTGGCCAAGGCCTCCAGGGACAGAGAGGATGGGTGGAGTTTCCCTTCTCAAAAGTCTGGCTCTTCTCCATCTGGACTTGGCTTTCCTGCAGTCTTGAGAAACCTCCCCCGTGAGCTTTCCTGTGGCACAGAGCCAAGGAGGGGACAAATCGGGGCTGAGATACCAGTTTTATCTAAAGTCTTAGCTTCTGGGGACAAAGCCTGCACACAGACCTGGGAGAGACCTTAGAATACAGAATGTCAGAGCTGGGAGGGTCCTTAGAGCCTAGAATGTCAGAGCTGGAAGGACCCTTAGAACAGAGGATGTCAGAGCTGGGAGGGCCCTTGGAAAATAAAGTGTCAGGGCTGGGAAGGCCCTTAGAACACAGTGTCAGAGCTGAGAGGGTCCTTGGAGCCCAGAAGGCCAGAGCTGGAAAGGGCCTTAGAACACAGGATGTCAGAGCTGGGAGGGCCCTCGAGAATGGAAAACCTCTCTCTTCCCCCCACCCCCCATTAGAACTGTTACAGGGGCAAGGTGATGGTGTATGCGCACTGTTTCATAGGGATGGACATAGTTTGGAGTGAAGTGAACAGAACCAAAGACAATTTACACAATAACAACAATGTTGTAAACGCAAACACCGTTGAAAAACTTTGATCAACACAATGCCCAACAGTGATCCAAAGTCCCAGGACGGACGATGTGGTGACTCCCCTTCTGCCCAGGAGGTAATGCACTCAGGGTGCAGAAGGAGACCTACATTTTTGGATATGACCAATGTAGGGACGTGTTTCTGACTTTGCACTTTTAAAAATTCTGTTTTTCTTTTTTCAGTTGTGGGATGGGGCGGGATTTCGGTGGGAGAGAGAGAGAAGACTGAATGCTTGTTAACTGAAAAGAAGAATTTAAAAAATTCAAAGGGCATTCAGACCTACAGGATCCTGATTGGTCCTGTGATTCCCCACTGTGGGAGGTGGGAGGGCAGGGTGGGAGTGGGGGTTGGAGAGTGAGTTTGGGGGGAGGCTGTGCCCATGAGGAGTGGCATCTGAATCAGGAGAAGCCACCCACTCAATAGGTTAAAAGGAGAGGCCAGAGGCTAAAGTCCAAAGTGGTCTGAACCTGGACTCAGTCCCATCGGCCCTCCCTTCTTCCCTTCATGGAGACCAAGGGGCCAACCAGAAGCCTCTCCTGGCTCACACCCTTTATTGAGCAAAAGGCCAGAACTTGTCTCTGCCCCAGGGAGCCAAACACATGTTGCCTAGGTTTGCTCTAGTCCCAGGGCTGGAGGGGGCCTCAGAGACCAGCTCAACCAACCCAAAGCTGAACGAATGGATGAATGAATGTGTGGGGATTAAAACTGTCCATCCTACCCTAAAAGAAACCCAGATGGAGCTCTGGGCCAATGGCACTTTATTGAAGGGTCCACGGTCCCCTCTAATGAAGTGGACCTCAGATCTTCCTTATGATCTGAAATGCCCTCTTCTTCCAGGACCTTGTTTTCATAGGGTTTGATACCCAAATATGCAAAAGAGGCATGGTGAAATACAGAATCTCATTGGTTGATAGACCTTGCTCTTGAGGGCCAAAAATGACAGATAAGCAGGGGGTCACAGGCTGGGTGGAGCATGGGCCATCTCCACTAAGTGGTCATAAAATGGTCACGTGCTCGTGTTGGACAAGAGAGAACGGTCCCGAGGTACAAAAATAAATTGGGGGAATTTCCAGAGCATCAAGGCGTCCCATCCATGCTGGGACTGGATGTGGAAATTTGAGTAAAGCAGGATGGAGATATCTTTGTCAGCATTCTCATGGTTGCATAAGTGAGCTGTGTAACTTGGTAAAAGAGTAGGGAACATTACATTAGAGCCTGAGGCCCCACTATAAGAACCCACCTATCCCTACATGATTTATGTAAAATATCAAACTGATTGGAATAGAGTAGGGGTCC